GCAGATGTGGGTTATCTGGTGACTAAAGTGGTGGCTGTTGATGTGGACTCTGGACAGAATGCCTGGCTCTCATATAAACTGCAGAAAGCCACAGACAGGGCGCTGTTTGAAGTGGGCTTACAGAATGGAGAAATAAGAACTGTGCGCCAAGTGACAGATAAAGATGCTGTGAAACAAAGACTCACTGTTGTAGTGGAGGACAACGGGCAGCCCTCTCGATCAGCTACAGTCAATGTTAACGTGGCGGTGGCGGACAGCTTCCCTGAAGTGCTCTCGGAGTTCACTGACTTTCCGCACGACAAGGACTACAACGACAACCTGACTTTCTATCTGGTCTTGGCCTTGGCTGTAGTTTCGTTTCTCTTTATCGTGTCTATCATTGCCATACTGTCAGTCAAATGCTACAGATGGAGACGCGAGCGGATGTTTTACAAATCTGGAGCGAATCTTCCAGTTATTCCGTATTATCCGCCTCTTTACGCAGACGTAGGGGGCACAGGAACTTTACAGCACGTGTACAATTATGAGGTGTGTGGTACTACTGACTCAAGAAAGAGTGATATGAAGTTTTTGCGGCCCTCTAGTCAAAGTGTTTTAAACTTTGACTTGAGTGGCACCAGAACTGTGCCAAATCAAAACAGGAGTACAGAAGAACCAGATGTTAGTGCAGAGGTGAGATTTCTTTATGTGACTTGTACAGTATTGCTTACAGTTTCCCTTAGTATTTATACAGAATCTTTTTTTCTTTTATAAAGTTGCTTTTCTTCATTATGTTTGCTCAGTGTGTTTGAATCAACTGCTGCTTTTGTGATTTTTAGTGGATGTATGAAGTCGGTTTTCTCCAAGTTCACACAGGTGTGCTAGCAGAGGAACCACAGGTGTAGAGAATCACAATAACACAGTTGTTTTTTAACAGTAAATCTACTGATTTTATTGTGCCTGTTCCATTTTCTTCTTAAAATTTTATTTGTCATTTAATGTATTGACATTCGTACATTTTTGTGTGCCTTTACTTTTGGAGAAACTGTATGTTTATAGAAAAATTCAGTGGCATATAAACGGAATCTCTCCATTAGAATGTGTCATCTGTTGTCAGGAGGAGAAAACAGGAAATGCGCTCTGATCTCACAGACTGCAGAGTCGTGGGGGAGGGGTTGTGTGCCGAGAGGCGAGTCAAGGGTAATGCAGCAAAATCCAAACCGAATCTTTGTTTACATCAGATGATGAATAACTTGCAAGCTCTGATATTTTGCATTCTCAAATATATCAGACTCTGATGGTCCAAAGGGCAGTAAAGCAGAGGAGAGAGAGAGAGAGATGGAGGAGGAGGACTAGTGCTGCAGAAAGAACAGGGACACTGCACACTATTTTTTCACTCACTGACCCATTTTCTGCTTCACACACACATTATTGCCCTGATCATACAGTGGCACTAAAATATATACTGATACACAGACCATGTAAATGATTTTCAGGAGAAGAGGCAAATTTGCGATGGTAAACAAGATGAAGCAGGCATGGGAAGAGAGGCACTCAGTATCTCTACATAAAATTTGTTTACCATTGTGGACAACACGCATAACTATCACAAATGAGCTATCACAAATGCAGAAAAAAAGAGTCTTAGAAATGCCCATGTTTACAGTAAACAGACACACAATGAATTACCAGTAGCTTCACTTTAATGTCCCGTTCCATTCTGAAATGCATCAATGCGGAAGTAAATTTGCTTCTTGGGAGTCATTTCAGGTTGACTTCAACTTTATATCTTGTATATTTTGGTTTATTTTCCAGTGTACCCTACTGGCTTCTCTTTAATAGACTCATTATCAGTTGTGGAGCCTCTATTCTCTGCAGCACATTAAAGAAGAGACATGTGGTAGTCAGATGTGCTGCTTGCTAACGGAAACTGATACAATGGGAAGTTGCTACTAAAAATAACCATTTTAGTGACATTTTCCTTTAATTTTTCTTAAATGAAAATGAGTCTTAAATGTCTTTAGTGTCTACCTGAATTATGGGCAAAGTCAATCATGAACAGACATGTTTGTGTGTGGCGGGCACATCTGCATTTCTTAGGTTGTGACTGTGTGAACTGCTACCCTCTTTGCATTTTGGTGTCCCACATCTGGCCTTCATTTCTCTAATCTTCAGTTCCTGGACCTATTAGTGCCTTTTCTTTAATGTACATCATAAATCCACATGCTCTTGAGCTTTGGGAGGTTTGGTTTCCTCACAAATCACTGAAATGAGCTTCTTGCTTCAAAGCGTTCTTAATTGTCTGATCACCGTTGTGTAAAAGCCAATATGAAAGGTCAAGGACACGGTTTTATATGTAAAACGGTCAAGATCACCTTTGTATCCTATGTCCTATGTTCTTTGAGACGTGTGTATGTTTACTTAGCTATACATAGAAAATGTTATTCCTAAAGTATAGCGTATAACTATCAAAGTCAGGTGTTTAAAAGCTTAAAATGTCTTTATGTCAATATGGATGTTTATATATTGCTGTGGTTACAGCAAAAGGGAAGCATTTGATGTCTTTTTTACTAGAAAAACAGTTTGTTACTTGTCTCTTGAGCATCTTTAAATGAATTCTTAGTTCCTGCTTTATTTTCTGTTCTTTTCTGCTTCTCACTTTGATGCAGCAGTGCATCTCTCCTTAAGAAATCTGTCTCTCCTGAGGTTTGTGAACAGGTGTGGCTCTCACACAGATTAATACAGGATGATCGTTGATTCTGAGAGGAATGCTTTTGTTTGAAGCGCACAAACTCTTGTATACATGTGACACAGATCATACAGAGTCATGTTGGCTTGGGGCTTCCATGTACATCATTCTGTGTGAGTTTGTGTGTAATGTTTTGTGAGTTGTTGCAGCATGTGTGCGTGTGTGTGTCTTCATCCTGCAGCACGCTGATCCTCTGAAAGGATTAAACAGGCTTTATTAAGGCCAGTGAGACAGTAGGACACACACACACATACAGTGACCTGTGTCTACAGACAGTAAAGTAAAGCCACGTGGCCACAAAGCAATTTATACTAGTTGTTTTTATTCCCTTATATCTGAATGTGGTTCATATCTTGATGTTTGACTTTTTTCTGTTGATTTCAGATACAAGTAACTACTTATCATAAAAAATAAAAGTTTATCTAATGTCTTATTGTTTAACTTATGTAGGTTTATTAACAAGTGAATCAGCTTGCCCTACAAGGGTAGCTCTGTTTCCTTCATGTCTATTTCTCTCCTCCTGACTCCTGTTTCTCCCCTCCCCCTCTCCGTCTGCACCTCCCTGCAGTCTTTGTCTGATGTATTTATGTGTTCTGCACAGCCGGTATGTGAGTGTGCAAAAAAAAACATGCGTACGTTCTTACCACAAGCCCTTAAATTCTGCCCTTAATCACACTGATTATATTTCTAGCTTTGTTTGGTAAGTTATATGAGAGCTTATGTTTGTGCATAAATGAGAGATGATGGTCATTTCCGATGTTGTTTTTGTGGAGGATAAATATGCTTTGTTCTGTGTTTATAAATGCCCTCTGTTTTCTCCTCTCCTGGCGTTTTTCCCCCCTTCTTCTTCTGGCCCGTTTTCCATCCCTTAGTGGGATGGTGTTGCCACAGCAACAGGCTGACTCATGGTCAGGCCTGTACCATTATTCTTGAGTCCACAGGGGGGCAGTGAAAGATTCAGAGCTGGATGTGTTGTAGTGAGGTGCTGCTCATGGCCTTTGACACCCGTTATAGGATGGAGGCATGCAGTGGCCAGAGATTCTGGTTTAATGTGTTGGGGGAAGGGACAAGTGTGTGTCTGTGTGTGTTTTTATAGAGAGCATGATTGTATCAGTGAGAGTTGGAATTCTGTTCTTATTAATTTGTGTATTTTCTTCATGGTTCTTTGAATAATTATTCTACAATAACATTTTATTTCCACCCCCATGCACACTTTTGAATAGAATGCATACATAAAACAGTAAAAAAGTTTGTAAATAATGCTTTTGCAAATTATATATATATATATATATATATGGACCAATTATATGGATTGTTATTTTTCCATCAAATAATTAGCACATCATATAAATATTTTGAGGGATTATACATTATTCCCATCTTCATGCCTCTAATAAAATGATGTTTTACAAAATAGATCACTAGAGATAACCTATGTACACTTTGAGCATTTTTTGCCATTGCAATTTCTTTCTGCAATGTCATCTGCAGTTATGAAGAGATTAGATTTGTGTGTGTAAGAGAGAGCGATATGAAGAAGGTTTGAATTATTCATATCTGAAGCTGCTGCTCATCAGAGGAGTTTCTCTGATTTTTCTGTTTTCTCTATTTTTTCTTTTTCTTTAATTTATATCTCTGTCTGACAAACAAATAATAATGTGTTTCTGTTCTTGCTGAAGTATCTTGAGACCTGATAAAGGTCTCAGACTGAAGGGTTTGGTAAGTATGAGGGTCCTGCACACATCTGCTGTTGCATCACTCTAATCAATTCTGGGGTTTTTTCTTCTTTTTCATGTTCTTGTTGCTGCTGATGCTGTGATATCATCTTCTCCTGCTAATCCATACCCGTGTCTGCAAATCAAGGTAAGAAAAGCATTGAAGAACACACAAACACACACATTTCTCACACCCAAACAGTATAGTTTTATGTTTGTGTTTCTTTTATAAAAAAAAGTCTAATCATACACACATTTTATTATTCTACTTCTAAAGGTAAAAACATAGATCTGTTTTCTATAGCAACTCAGATATTTTGCAATGTATTTTGAATTCTTCAATATATGCTACAAGTCAACAGTTTGGATACACTTGAATTGATGAATCAGTGAATTTGTTTCTTATAATCTTACTTTTTTTTCTGAAGTCTTTTACTTAAAAGCTTTTGATTAGACAAATATAAACTGTCTGTGTATGTCTTTACAAAACATTTTTGTTTGTTTGTTTGTACTTAAGGGAATGTATTATTCAAAGGTTTAGAAAATACCAATAATAAGGAATGTGTGTCCAAACTAGTTGTAAACATTATATTCACAGTAATTATATAGGTTACATCACCTGGTCTGTTTCTTTGCACCCCAAACCCTATAAACCTTATAGTATGTCACATTTTGTTTAACATTTTCTCATTATTTTAACATATTCATTTGTACCATTTTTCTGAGTTTCTGGTGTTTTTGAATACTGTACTGTTGTATTTTTAAAAGGACCAGCCTACATCTGAAATTGATTTAACTTTCGAAAATGTATGGAATCTTTAAGATTTTCAGCTGTTGTATGTGATAGAGCTGTCTGAAATACTTTACTATTGTTTGAATCGAGGTTAATTTCATTGTATGAGGAGGTTGCTGACTGGTTTACTGGGAGCTGATTGGATTACAGATGGTGTGTGTGTGCGTGTGTGTGTGTGTGTGTGTGTGTGTGTGTTGGGTCGGCTGCTTGCAGCAGCAGGTGTTCGGCTGAGTGTCGCTGTCCGCCGCTCTAGTGCTGAAACGGGCTCTTACGTCACCCTCCTTCTCAGTGTCTCTAATAGCAACATTTGAGATCCGCTGTCTCTCAACCCCTCCAGTTTGCTTTTTTAAAATAGTTTTATGTTTGTTTGTTTGTTTGTTTGTTTGTTTGTTTGTTTTTTACTATCGTTTTAATAAGTTAAAATAAGTTTGTTCTGTTTTTGTTTCCTTTATAAATAAATCTGTGTATGCGGTTGTACTGTTTTCCGCTCGCCCCTCCCCTCCTGCTATTGAACGCGTGCGCGCACAGCTGCAGTTAATGAAACTCACCACAGGGCGGCAGTAAAGATAAAACACATGTGCAGCTGTCAGTAACATGGTTATAATTTAACATACATTCTTAAGTCTACAAATCTATCATCTGTGCGCAAATTAAGATTTATTCACACCAGGAGGCATATAATGCAAATCACCCAATATATTTATAGAAACTACAGAATAGCAAAATAATAATATCACTGACAAATACTAGGAATGTTATCATGCAGTGTATTTATACACCCAACTTTTAAACAGTTTTTGTATCTTTAAAGAATCACATTTTAAATCACACAATAGCAACAACAACAACAAAATTTGTTACAGTTTGTGATCTGTATAATTCTTAAATAGACTTATACAGTGCAAAAACTTATAAACTACTATGCAGTTTATGTATCTTTAATGCTTATAAATATGTTGTCATTATAAAAAATTTAAATAGAATTATAAATATGATAAATATAAATATAATTTTATATAATTATAAATAACACACAATAGCAACATTTTTTTGTTTTGTTTTCTATAAGACAATAATGTTATCATTCATTTAAATATACAAAAACTGTATAAAAGTATGGTGCATTGCATGTTTATTACATCATTATTATTATTATTATTATTATTATCCCATTTAAGTTGTTGTTGCTATTATTGACTAAATATAATAACAAAATATTTAATACAACCACCTCTTTTTTATGTGGTGTATCTTTAATGGCAAAATAATATTTGATTGGATTAAACTCAGTCTCAGTAGCAGAACTGCACAGACCAAGACATTCATCCAGCCTCTCCTCACCGTGGAGCAGAGAGAAAGATATGCATTGTTCTGCATAACTCCTTTAGGCAGGCAACAGCAGTGACAAAATATATATATTTTGGGGAAAGATATCTGAATATTTGTTGGGTAGTTGTTTTGCCTTTGTGTCTTTTGAAATACAGACAGATTTGTAACAGATTGGATTCACTGGATTCACTCTCGTAAAGCCAAGCAGCACCACAGACCGGAGGGACATGATCAGTATAGATGTGTTTTGGGATTTATCAGCCGGTGATAAATAGTATGGGTACCCATATCACTACGCTTAATGTATCTCATCAACTGTAATTATATAATTTTTGACAGATAAGTAACATTCATTCATAGTGAGGTCTTAAAGCCTGAGAACATATTAAAAGATTGTGTGAATTGTTTTCTTTTATGCCTAGAAATATTTTATTCCTAATAAACTGTCGTGCAATAAAAGCACTATTTAGAACTTTTTGGGTACAATTCGAATGTTATGCGAAAACAAAGAGGGAAAACTGCGCCGTCTAGCGGCGTGTCATTGTAATCCTCTTTTGACATGTAGAATATTGTTTTGTCTAATGTTGAATATAGACTATTGTATGTATTCAATCGCCCTCGTATCATTTCTCGTGTTTTATAATGATAAAATATATAATTGCATATTTTTTACCTTGAAATGCAACATTGCCAGAGTTGTCAATAGAAGTTTTCAATGGTTTTGTGGTCTGTGGCCGTGTTCGCAAATTGGCAGCGTTCCTTTGAGTCTCTGATGTTCTGTATCTCGGCTCTAAAATATTTTAAACCACATGGGATCACTGGCATGTGTGCTGGAAACAGGTCGACCTGAGCTGTGAACGTTTCTCCAAGCGCTAGGAGAAGTGTGTGGGAGTCTCTCTCGCTCTCTCTGTGTGTGCAATAGGACGGACCTCTTTTGTGACTCAGTCTCCGCCCTGTTGCGCAGCGGAGGCGCTGCTAATTCAGGGAGTTTTGGAGAAGAGCTGGATGGAGGACTGTTTTTTTCCTCTCTTGTGATTTCCCGAAAGGTTTACAGCCGTCATGAATTATGTTAAACTTCTTCCTTCACTCCGCGCGAATCGGACTGCGTTACGCGCGACATCGTAGCGCCACTTTAATTGGAATATGGATTCTATAAGACGAAAAAGTTGATACTTTCCCCCTCCCCGGATCGCACATAATGGAGAGGAGACGCTCGTGGCCCGTGCTCTGCCTCGCGCTCTCCCTCATGCATCTCTCAATCGCGTCCGGTGAGCTCCGTTATTCGGTACTGGAGGAACAGAAACCGGGGTCTGTCGTTGGGAATATAGCGAGGGATTTGGGTCTCAGCGCAATGAGGATTACTGAAAGAAATTTACAGGTGGTGTCGGGATCTAACGCGCAATATTTCGAGGTAAATCCTAACGGTGTCTTGGTTATTAGAGAGACTATAGATAGAGAGAGCATTTGCGCTTTAAGTTCGACTTGCTCTTTGCACCTTCAAATTCTTCTTCAGAACCCTTTAGAAATTCACAGAATTCTTGTTCAAATTGATGATGTAAACGACAACGTGCCGCAGTTTCCAAACGTGAATTCATCACTAGAGATTTCCGAGGCGGCCGCGGCGGGAACGCGGTTCCGTCTGGAGAGCGCACGCGATCCCGATGTGGGCATTAACTCCCTACGCACGTACAGCATTTCCAGCAGCGACTATTTTGTTTTAAACGTGGAGACTAAAAGCGACGGAAGTAAGTTTCCAGAGCTCGTCCTGGAAAAGGCTCTGGACCGGGAGTCGCAGGACGCGTTTCGCCTCTCGCTCAGGGCCGTGGACGGAGGACAGCCGGAGAAATCCGGGACCACCCTCCTACTTATTAAGATTCTGGACGTGAATGACAACGCGCCGGTGTTTGATGAGCCGGTGAAAAGGGTTAGTCTTTTGGAAAACTCTCCTCCAAGAACGCTTGTGACTAAACTGAATGCCACTGATGTGGACTCTGGGATAAACGGGAAAATATCTTACTTATTCAGTAAATACACACCAGAGAGAACACTTAAAATGTTCAGTGTTGATTCTCAATCAGGGGAAATCCGTGTTGTGGGGGATGTGGATTATGAGGAAGCCAATGTGTATGACATCACAGTTCAAGCCAGGGATGGAGGCTCTCCCGCCATGGAGGGCTCATGCAACATTAAAGTGGAAATAATCGATGTGAACGATAACACTCCGGAGGTGACATTAACCTCACTAACCAGCCCCATCCGGGAGGATGCTGAAACCGGCACTGTTATTGCGTTAATCAGTGCAAAAGACTTAGATTCTGGGGATAATGGAAAAGTCACACTTAGAGTATCCCTGATGTGGACTCTGGGATAAACGGGAAAATATCTTACTTATTCAGTAAATACACACCAGAGAGAACACTTAAAATGTTCAGTGTTGATTCTCAATCAGGGGAAATCCGTGTTGTGGGGGATGTGGATTATGAGGAAGCCAATGTGTATGACATCACAGTTCAAGCCAGGGATGGAGGCTCTCCCGCCATGGAGGGCTCATGCAACATTAAAGTGGAAATAATCGATGTGAACGATAACACTCCGGAGGTGACATTAACCTCACTAACCAGCCCCATCCGGGAGGATGCTGAAACCGGCACTGTTATTGCGTTAATCAGTGCAAAAGACTTAGATTCTGGGGATAATGGAAAAGTCACACTTAGAGTATCCCAAGTACTTCCGTTTAAACTAAAGTCAGCCTTTGGAGAACACTACACACTTGTGACCGACGGACGTCTAGACAGAGAAGTCATTGATGAGTACACTGTTGTTGTCACTGCGACTGACTCTGGCTCGCCTCCGCTATCCTCTCAGAAGACTTTTGCGGTCCGTTTATCAGATGTTAATGATAATGCTCCAGTGTTCTCGCAGAACTCCTACTCAGTGGATGTAGCTGAAAATAATGCTCCTGGTACTCCGATAGTAGCAATTTCAGCGTCAGATCCAGACGTCGGAGACAACGCCCGATTGTCATACTCCATCCTACCGACCACCATCCACGGCAGCCCCATTTCCTCATACGTCTACATCAACCCAGAGAACGGGAACATCTTCACCATGCGCTCTTTGGATTACGAGCAAATAAATGCGTTCAAGATCGAAGTGCAGGTGCGCGATGCTGGAGCTCCACCGCAGACGTCTAATGTCACCGTGCATGTTTTTGTGGTCGACCAGAATGACAACCCGCCCATCATCCTTTACCCAACACACTCTGAAGACGCAGGGCTCCAGCTGACCGTCCTGCACGGTGCCCCCGTCGGCCATCGCGTCAACAAGATTGTCGCCGTTGACCCCGACAGTGGCCACAATGCTTGGCTCTTCTACAGTATTGCTCCAGGGGACGATTCATCGCTGTTTCACATCGAACCGCACACGGGCGAACTGCGTACCGCACAAAAACTCATGGACGACGAACAGGGTGGTAAAACCCACCCAGCTTATAACATTATAGTGGTTGTGCGAGACAACGGCCAGCCAGCTTTGTCCACTAGCGTTTCGGTTACCGTTACCGTAGAAGAAAAAAGCGCGGATAAATCTACAGACTTCCGTATAACGCCACACAAGGGGACAGGAATGACAGACATCACTCTGTACCTCATCATCTCATTGGGCTGTGTGTCGCTGGTGTCGCTCTTGACCATGGCGGTGCTCTTGGTACGGTGCATCAGGCACAAGGGTGGTTCGACATGCTGCTACTCCAGAACGGGTTTCCGTTCCAGGCATGCCTATCAGCAGAGAGCCCATAAGGACCTTCACCTCCAGCTAAACACTGATGGACCCATTAGATATATGGAGGTGGTCGGAGGGCCTCAGGAACCTCACACAAGGACCTACAGGCCCTGCTACTCAACGCTCTCCAGCAGGAGTGATTTTGTGTTTGTCAAGACTCCCATGTTGAGTCATAACAACACATTAAACATGACTTTGACTAGGAAGCACTTAATGAACTCAGCCAATGAGGTGAGAGCATACTCAATATATATATAACTTAACTACCCAAAACAGTTCTTTTAAATTGTAATAATATTTCACAATTACTGTTTTTACTGCATTTTTTATTAAATAAATACAGCCTTGGTGAGCAGAAGAAATATCTCTCAAAAACATTTTAAAAATGTAGTTAATCCAAACTTTTGAGCAGTAGTGTAGGTGGAAAAAATATATTAGGTAATGTTTCAACCTCAGAGCTGGTTATTATTCATGTTGAAGCCTATTTTGTGTTTTCTCTGAGTTTCTTTGTTTTATGAGCATAGTTTTGTTTTATATGAAGCAGCTGGGTAATTTGTTAAATATGCTTCAAGTGTACGTCATAGTGCCGTTTTTATGATTTAGTAACTGGCTTCCAAAAGCTGCACCAGACTGGCAGGGTGTGAGTCCTGTGACTAAACAGGAAAAAGGAGAAAGAACAGAGGAAGAAGATGTGGGATCACAAAGGAAAAGGGTACAGATATATTAAGAACAAGTGAAAAGCATTTAGCAGAGTCTGGATGGTGTCAGACAAGAAGGGAGGAGAAAATTAAGACACACTAAGGAAAGATTTTAGATTTGGAAACATGGTTGTCAGAGAGAAAAAAACATTTAGATTAGTGGTTCTCAACTGTTTTTGCTTCAGGACCCAGATTTTACATTGAACATCAAGTGGAGACACTAAAATTGTTTATTGTAAAAAGTAAACAAATGTCTTTGTACTGGAAAACAAGACAAAAAAATACAGAGTAAGGAAACATTTTTGCAGTGCACTGGTTTAGATGGAAGATATGAACAGAAATATGGAGCAGACATTGTGAGTGCACAGAACAGAAACTCTAAAGTGAGGTTGAAAGAGGCATGGATAACAGATGGACAGGAAAAGGAACCGACCGACAGACAAAAATGAGGATTTAGGTGGGGGAAGGAAAAGGCGGGAATATGACGGATGGAGAGAGAGATAAATAAGAAGTAGGTAGTGGAAGAAAGAGGTGGCGGAATAACAGGATTCCAGAGGTCATGCACTGACCCCTGACTTCCTGTTGTGCTGAACTCATATTATTGACTCCACACGTCTGAGTCATGTGACATACTGACATCATGTGACATCAGTTTCTTATTGCAAGTTCCTCCTGTGTTTCTGTGGCATGCAAAGCAGTTATTTCTAGAGTTTTGGTCAAGTGTTATATGAGTTTGCTGTTTGTCGAAACTGAATTCCTCTGTAATCTCCTGTGTTTATGTCTGTAGGGGATGAGCCTGAGAAATGGAGATTTTCCTCTTTCTTTCTCCCATTCTCTCCGTTCGGGACCTAATGTTCCATCTCTAAGTCTCTTGAGAGTCGTTCTGTCTCTCCTCCAGCTAAACACTGATGGACCCATTAGATATATGGAGGTGGTCGGAGGGCCTCAGGAACCTCACACAAGGACCTACAGGCCCTGCTACTCAACGCTCTCCAGCAGGAGTGATTTTGTGTTTGTCAAGACTCCCATCTTGAGTCATAACAACACATTAAACATGACTTTGACTAGGAAGCACTTAATGAACTCAGCCAATGAGGTGAGAGCATACTCATCCCCACAGCCAATCAGATTCTTCACTGTTGAGTCACTAATGGATTCTTTCTTTCACTGCCACTCAAAAGTTTGGATAAGAGAATCATTTTTTTATGTTGTTGAAAGAAGTCTTTTTTTTTAGCTTGCCAAGGCTGCATTTATTTGATCAAAACTACATAACATAATATTTGGTGCTCAAATATTAATAATCATTATTATCAGTGTTGTTGTTTTTTTTTGGTGCTGCTAAATATTTTTGTGGAAATGGATTTATTTATTTTTTCAGGATTCTTTAATGAAAAGAAACCTCAAAAGAATAGTATTTATTTGCAATATGAATGTTTTATAACATTATAAATGTATTTATTCGGGACCTAATGTTCCATCTCTAAGTCTCTTGAGAGTCGTTCTGTCTCTCGGGTCGCTGGGCTGCCATCTGGCTCTGCTATCATGACACGTGCTCTCTCTGTGTGTGTGTGTGTGTGTGTGTGAGAAGGTGGGCATGTGAGTTTCAATAGATGGAGGAATCACTAACGGACCTGAGGACAGAGAGAAAGGGCTGTGTGTGTGTGTGTGTGTGTGGTCCTCTTGGTCAATAGCAGATTCTGGACCTATAAGAATGATTTTGATAATCTTGCGTTAGTTACTCTTCGTGGTTTCTTACCTTTTCTTTTTCACCTTTTTCTTTCCAACGTTTTAAGAGTGAATCTCACATAATCTGTCAAAAAATGTCTAGATCATATTGTGCTTTAAAAAGCTTTTAGAATTTCAGAAATTAGAATTTCTTGCCTTTTCATGACAATTGCGCACAGTCTATCTCATTTTAATTACTGTAATGCTTAATACATGCAGTAAATTTAATTTTTTTATTTAAAATATTGAATAAGAATCTAATGAGAATAATGACTCAACTTAATTTCAAGTTGCAGTAATTAGAATTTGTAAAAATGTCAAATGTTCCTAAATAGTCATAATTCTTTATCTTTACCTTTTGTTTGTTTTTTATTCTAATTTTATAAATTTTCATTACAATTAAAGCACAACTTTCAGTTCTCATTATTATAACGCAAAAAAAAATCGGGGGATCGATTTAAATAATAAATCTGATTTTTTTGTGAAAAAATCGGAGATTTTTTTTTTAGGCCATATCGCCCAGCCCTAATGTGGTCTGGACATATTTATGTGAAATTCATCTGTTTATATGTCAATATTTATGTTAAAACCCCAATTTAATACATGCCAGGCAGTTTTATGAGCCAAATCAGTTGGAAAGGTTCCAAACTACCACTGACCAACACACTTCATGCGGTCTGGAGATTTGTTACTTTCTGAATTTGTTGACTTTCTGCAGTCATGTTATGACAGTAAACTTATTTCATGACTTTCTGCCAAATTTGGCCATATTTTCAGTTTAACCCATTTCACAGTGATTCTCTTTGACCATGTTGCCATTGTTTTTCTCTGAAGCTCTTGTAGTGTCCTACTTTTATTCTGTTTAGTGGTGACCATCCTGATCAGTACGATCAGACTGTGGTTGGTTGGACTAAGTGGTTTTAGCGTTTTGCTGTGTGGTGGCTAGGGCGGTTTGGGTGGTTGCTAGGTGGTTCAAGTCAAAAGAGTCCACATTAAGTCATTAATTAACTCTGTCAGGGTTTCTAGTCATATGCATCTGCCCTTCTGTTTCTAGTGATAATGTGTGTACAGTTTATACAGAGAACAACCTGCAAAGTGTTTATAAGTTATACAAAGAAAAGTAGATATTTACGGAATCAGGTAGCTTCCTGTTCAGCGTGTAGAAAATGGTTGGGGGTCAGGATATACTGTACGTCACGTACAGATGTTTTCCATGCGATCTATGAGGACGGATGTCCTCAAATCTAGGAATATCTAAGAATAAATCTAGTTTGTTCATTCACAGGAACTTTCAGAGTTGATATACTGACCCAGATGCTCCTGGTGAATGTGTGTGGGCCAGATGTAAAGCTACAGATTAGGTCTGAAGGGTTATTAATTATAGTTATAGTACGAATATGTTAATCATCCAAGAAGACTAATATAGTTCAATATTTGTAAGCGGAATGTGTGAATTTATCACAGTCAAATCTCTTTGAATGTGTCTCGTTCGATCAGAATTAAGAGTCAGTCCTGTTTCTTTTATTATACTTTTTTTGTTGTTGCTGCTCAAGATTTAGCATGACTGATTTGATACACACACATTTTGCAATATATCAAGTGTGTGTATTTTTATGCATACAGTAGGTGTGCTTCATCCTGCTTTAGCATGTGTGCAGAGCATTAGTGTGTGTTTACAGATGTCACACAGTCCTTTAGGCCAATTGTGTGTGTGTATGTGTGTGTGTGTGTGTGTGTGTGTGTGTTTGGGAGCATGACACATCTATTGTGTGTTATTTGTATAAATATTCATTATGTACATAGAATTATCTGAGGGGACACTTCCCACCTGCAACTGTGACCTTGAGTTAACATGGCAAGGTCAAGTTGTGTGACCTCATTCTGATCACCATGGCGATGGTGAATCTTGAATTTAAAATGGAACATAGTTAAGTCTAATGGCAAAAATGTAACAGTACTGTTTGAAATGTTAATTGTTTCACATTGCAAAAATAGTAGATGATATACAGTATATAGTCATGAGAAAGATCTCATTATGTACCTCTTTATGGAAGACTTGGCTTTATTTTTTGACATTCCTGCAGGCAGGTGTAACCATGCTTCATGCTCACTCGCTCTGAACTCTTTGTGTCCTAGCCAAATGAGTGTTTTGTACACATGAGGATATGCAGGAATCATTACTGTCTGAAAGACTCTGACCCTGGATGTAACTAATGTTGTGATTGTTCTGATTAATCTGATGTGGTTTAGTGTATAATGTTCTGTGTGCGGAGTGAGGCGTGTTTGGGTCAGAGTCACCTGTGCTCTGTTTGTGAGGTTTAGGATCGTGTGTTTATGGGTTTCCTTGGCTATCTGGCTATACTTAGTAAAATAAAATTGTTCACAGATGTCATCTAAATAGGGCAAAAAAAAAAGTCTACAAATGTAAAAACCTATGTAAATTATTATTTTCACATACAGTTTGGTTTAGGTTAGTCTTGTAGTTATAGCGTTTAATTATTGTGTTTATTGGTTTACCTGGCTATACTTTGTGATCAAAATTGTCCCCAAAAGTAGTCTAAATTGGGGAAAAGAAGCTGTATTTTTCTTATTTTTTCCCATTTGTCCCCAAAATAATTTTTTTTAAATGCGTGTGACCCAGATGAGATTAGATTTACAATTGTGTGTTTATTGGTTTACTTGACTATACTTTGTGACCAAAATTGTGTGTATAAAATATTTTATATGAATTTATGTAAAACAGTCAGTCTAGGGTCGATGTCAGCTTAACATCGTGATGTCTGTCAGCCATCGGCAATGGACGATGGCACCGTCTATCAGCCCAACCCTAAGTCAGTCGTCATTTATATAGTTCAGTAAGCATATATGTATGCGTTGTGTCTCTCTAAGCTCAGCTGTTGTTTGTCTGGCATTTGTGGGTGTTGCTTTTGGTGCAAATATTTCCTGTGCGTGTGTTTGTGTTGTTTCTTGTATGGTCTTGCCTTTTTTCTTGTTGAAATATGTGAGAATATGGAACTAAATGGGCTTTAAATGCTATTTCATGTGAATTTCTAACAATTAATTTAAGTAACTCTTTAGTTTCTTTCATTGTTTGACTCTGACTGTTTCTCTTTCTCCTTGTTTGCTAATTTGGTCTTGATTAATTTGTCCGTTCTCCATTTCACTACACAATAAGAGAATGCAGATGAAAAAGAATTTGAAGTTTAAGAACTGAAAAGGCTTTTATCATGTTTTTTTTTTCATTTTAGGGTTTGTGACATTTTAAAGAGATAATATGCAGTGTGTGTGTGAGTGTTTGCTGTCCTGAGGATGTAATCACAATGGTCTTTCTGTCTTTGGCCCAATTAGTCACAGAGCTTGTTTCTCGTTCACTGGAACAATCCTGGACTCTCTCTGAGAGTGTGTTGTGTGTGTGTGTGTGTGTGTGTGTTCAGACTGAAACGCTTGAATTCCTGCTCATCCCAACCACGCTTCAGATGCGCTATCATTATTAATTGCTCTGTATATGTGTGTGTGTGTGTGTGTGTGTGTGTGTGAATATTCGTAACTTATTGAGCACCCATCTGTTTTAAATGAAACCTCTTTAGAAGTCATTTGTCAAAGCTGCTTCTGACATTCATTTAGGCTTTATCGTACTCATGTTTTCTTTGGCACTATGTAATAAAGTAAACAAGTCTCTTGTTCTCGTGGTTTGGTCACATGCTGCGTCCTCAAGGTCACACTGACGGCCATCACCGTATACAGGATACACACTTACATCATTTCTCTGTCCCCATGGCAATAGCGAGGTCACACAAATAGACTCACAAATGAATGGTGCTGTACTTTTCTTTTATATGTCATTACTCATGCTTTCCTTTTGTCTCGTTACAGCAAAAACCACCCAGCGCTGACTGGCGTTTCACCCAGAACCAGAGGCCAGGGCCCAGCGGGTGAGTAACACACACACGTTCACTAAGATTTGCAATATGCAAAGGTAGAAAGTCACCTCTTTTGAAAGCAGAAACATTTGCATTGAATAAATGGTTAGCACACACACAGAGGCGCATATATGTATATATTATATGTGTGTGTGTGTGTGTGTGTGTGTGTGTATAGAGTAAGATTTAAGTAATGTATGCAGATTTGCTTGTGTATAAAAAATATAGGCTCTGTTCAAGCTAGTATTGTGTGCACATACTGCTTATTGCATATATATGACACGTAGAGTGCAATTCCAAAGATACCCAAAGAGAAAGAGAGAAACAAGAAGAGAAAGAAAGTAGCTGTGCTGAATCTTAATTTTCTTCTCTTAACAAAATGGCTGCTGTTTTTCATGCACTTTCCCCTCCACCCCCAACACTTCAATCTGCCAAGAGAAAGAGAGAGAGGCCAGAAAAAGTAAAAGAGGGGGACAGTGAGGTTTATTGCCATGCTAATGCCTGTTATAGTCATGCATTGTGCTGAAACTGATTGGAACTATTAAGATTCCAAAGAACTTTGACTCTTTCAGTGTGATTGACAGCGAATTATCCAATCAGATGCTCTTTAGGGGGAGGGGTCGGTCACAGACAGCCAATAGGGTCCAGATTCTCTCGTGTGCCAGTGTTCATGGTGCACTGGTTTCCCTAACAGACGTTACACAACACATTCCAGGCTGACAAGACCCAGTTTGAAAGAAGCCATTTGGGAGAAATTAAATCTTTTTGTTTAGTTTAAATTGGCAGCGCTACATGTATAGCAGCAGGCCTGAAGATCTGTGTGTTGTTAGCAGGGATATTACACTGTAAAAAATTATTTTCCGAAGTTATAAATAAAATGATAATTGGAGTATGTTTTACAAGAAAATACTATTTCAGTCTTTCTGCTTTAAAATGTCATGTTTAATCACTTGTCATTTTGGGGAATTTTCTTGTCATTTTTTAGTTAAAATTGTTTCAAAGTTTCAGTTTATAGTTAACTAAAGCTATTTTAAAAATCACTTGTAATAATATAATAAAATAAAACATTAAAAGAACTTTCCAAGTTACCAAGGCATTTCTCATTTTCATTTGAAACTATAAAACTATAATTATATCTCAATGATACTAAAATAACACAGTGCTTCAGTTTTAGACTTATTTACCTTAGTTTCTTCCAAACTACCATAGTTAATATCAATCTTTTTTTCAGTTCCTTCAAGCTCCACTCTACACATGTAAGATGGACGCCGCCGAGCAGGCTGAGGTATTGAAGTGTAGCTAGAGCCCCTGCTCGTTCCTGTAGGTTTCTCCCTGGGTCAGGTTCGTCATCTGAAACTACTGGTGCTGCATTAGTGTCCAATAGTGATGCTGGGGCTCATAAAATAGAATAGAAAACAGTGTGTAGAGTTGTGCACATTAGTAGCTCCGGCCTTGTTGCAGTGCATTCCACGGTTTTGGAGCCTGAAGGGAATTGCACAACAAATAATGACTTAATTTCCTTTATGTGGACATTTGTAAGGGGTTTTATGAATGAATAGCTACAAACAATGACATCTTGGACCATAACTCGTGGTTTTTGACAACTCACACAATCTGGTCCACAGGAAGTGATTATCTGACCACAGGATGTGATAATGCTGACCACAGGAAGTCTGATTTCCTGCAAGTGTGATGAGACGCTGATTGTGGTGAAATTAGGCGTTTTATCTTCATGCTTCTAAACAGGAACTGTTGTCTGTCGTCCTAAAGTGTTGTGCCAGGATATGGCGAGTTAACCTGTTTTTTCATTGACCTATGTTTAAAGTGGTTAAGGATCTGAACTGAAGTAAATCGCTGATTTCAGATCAGCTCTGGTTCTCATTAGGGTTGTTTGCTCTAAAACAACATCACCCTGTTTTTCCCTCATCTTGGCACTGTGAGTTCATCTCTTTTGAAATGCTTGGCAAAAACAGTGTCTTTCCCCCCTCAAATGTCTTTCTGCCCTTCATTCTTTCACCCTTTCTGTCACTTTTTCCTTCACATGCTTAAATTCCAGTTTTTGTTCTTCATGGTTTATCTATTCTTTCTTTCTTTCTTTCTTTCTTTCTTTCCCAGTGTCCTCTTCTTTTCCTGTCTTTGAGTCTGTTTTCGTCCTCCTCTCCCACCTGTCCTGCGATCGTGTCTTGTATGCAGATGTTGTGCTGTGCCGCTGCGGTTGATTGTCTGGTGTCTGTGGTGATAGACGGTTTTACAGCTGCTGGGCTCATATAAGACAGGAAGTGAGACCCCGACAGAGACAGATGGCTTTTATGATTAGCATCTCATTCTCTCTCTGTGCTAGAGATGCTTGTTAGTAATTCATACTTATTTGAATTTTGTCCATACAGATGGTGGGTTCGGTGGTTTTGTCCTGTTCATTATGACCCATTTTTTCCAGCATCTGTATTCATTTGAGTTTAACCAAACAAAAGCCTTTAGAACAGTAAACAGCCTACAGTAACAAGATAATTATTTAGCTTGGTGTTTTATTTATTGTTTGTGTTTATTATTAATAATAGTAGTTAAGCATTATGCATTTTACCAAGATCCTGCGCATTTTTTAATGATTTTATAAAAAGCCTGCTTTGCATCATAGTAATTTTAATTTGAATTCATTTTAAAATAATAATTTTAAAATGATTTTCACTTTGGTTAATGGCACTGATCTAGATTTTCCCAGTATTTCCACACTGAAGCTTCTTGATCTTTCATATGCTCAAATGTTGAGCAAATATGTTCAAAAGTTTGGTGTCAGTAAGATTATTTTAATTTTTTTTAAAGAAATCAATACTTTGATTCAGCAAGATGGCATTAAATTGATCAAAAGTGAAAGTAAAGACAAAAAAGTAAAGACAAAAATCTACTTGATGTTCTTGTTCTGTTCTTTTGAGCTTTCTGTTCATCAAAGAATCCTGAAAAAATAAATGTATCACTGTTTCCACAAAAATATTAAGGAGCTCTATTTATTAACTCTTTTTAAAATTAATAACAAGAAATGTTTCTTGAGCAGCAACTCAGCATATTCGAATGATTTCTGAAGGATCGTGTGACACTGGAGACTGGAATAATGATGCTGAAAATTCAGCATTGTATCACATGAATAAATTACATTTTATAATATATTCAAATAGCTAACAGCTATTTTTAATTTGAATAATATTTCTTGTTATTACAGTTTTTACTGTATTTTTTGATCTAATAAATGCAGCCTTGGTGAGCAGAAGAGACTTCTTCCAAAAACATTTATAAAAATCCTTAAAGTTTTTTGAACAGTAGCGTGTTTCCTGATGTTACTGGGAACAGGATGAGGAATCTCCATTATTCTTCCCACATGCAGGGAAAAGACATCCGGGATGTTTTTATGAGGAACAGCAATTTGTCCTTTGTTCATGTAGTGAAAGTTTTAATGTTTTTAATTAACACATTATGTCTTGTTTGTGGAGCTCTAATCTTCAAAACAAAACTCCTGTTAGTGGGGAATTAATGGAGGTAAATTGGAAGAGTATTTGTTGCTTTTCCTGGTTACCGACAGCAAAGCAAGCTTTGTGTGTAATGAGGTGAACTTTAGTGCGATCAGAGCTTTTGTTCACTGTGGATGCAAATTGCAGAGTTTTTAAACAAGCCTTTGATGATCAAGACGCCGCACATGGAAATGTTCAGTGGTTTTGTGTGCATGTGCTGTCTCCGGTAGTTTTAATTTTCCAACTTGGTGTTGTTAAAAGTAACATGGAGGATTGTGAGAGTGTGTGTGTGCGTGCGTGCGTGCGTGTGTGTGCGTGTATGTGTG